GTTCTGTTCTAGTTCTGTTCTAGTTCTGTTCTAGTTCTGTTCTAGTTCTGTTCTAGTTCTGTTCTAGTTCTGTTCTAGTTCTGTTCTAGTTCTGTTCTAGTTCTGTTCTGTTCTAGTTCTGTTCTAGTTCTGTTCTAGTTCTGTTCTAGTTCTGTTCTAGTTCTGTTCTAGTTCTGTTCTAGTTCTGTTCTAGTTCTGTTCTAGTTCTGTTCTAGTTCTTTCTAGTTCTGTTCTAGTTCTGTTCTAGTTCTGTTCTAGTTCTGTTCTAGTTCTGTTCTAGTTCTGTTCTAGTTCTGTTCTAGTTCTGTTCTAGTTCTGTTCTAGTTCTGTTCTAGTTCTGTTCTAGTTCTGTTCTAGTTCTGTTCTAGTTCTGTTCTAGTTCTGTTCTAGTTCTGTTCTAGTTCTGTTCTAGTTCTGTTCTAGTTCTGTTCTAGTTCTGTTCTAGTTCTGTTCTAGTTCTGTTCTAGTTCTGTTCTAGTTCTGTTCTAGTTCTGTTCTAGTTCTGTTCTAGTTCTGTTCTAGTTCTGTTCTAGTTCTGTTCTAGTTCTGTTCTAGTTCTGTTCTAGTTCTGTTCTAGTTCTGTTCTAGTTCTGTTCTAGTTCTGTTCTAGTTCTGTTCTAGTTCTGTTCTAGTTCTGTTCTAGTTCTGTTCTAGTTCTGTTCTAGTTCTGTTCTAGTTCTGTTCTAGTTCTGTTCTAGTTCTGTTCTAGTTCTGTTCTAGTTCTGTTCTAGTTCTGTTCTAGTTCTGTTCTAGTTCTGTTCTAGTTCTGTTCTAGTTCTGTTCTAGTTCTGTTCTAGTTCTGTTCTAGTTCTGTTCTAGTTCTGTTCTAGTTCTGTTCTAGTTCTGTTCTAGTTCTGTTCTAGTTCTGTTCTAGTTCTGTTCTAGTTCTGTTCTAGTTCTGTTCTAGTTCTGTTCTAGTTCTGTTCTAGTTCTGTTCTAGTTCTGTTCTAGTTCTGTTCTAGTTCTGTTCTAGTTCTGTTCTAGTTCTGTTCTAGTTCTGTTCTAGTTCTGTTCTAGTTCTGTTCTAGTTCTGTTCTAGTTCTGTTCTAGTTCTGTTCTAGTTCTGTTCTAGTTCTGTTCTAGTTCTGTTCTAGTTCTGTTCTAGTTCTGTTCTAGTTCTGTTCTAGTTCTGTTCTAGTTCTCTTCTAGTTCTGTTCTAGTTCTGTTCTAGTTCTGTTCTAGTTCTGTTCTAGTTCTGTTCTAGTTCTGCTCTAGTTCTGTTCTAGTTCTGTTCTAGTTCTGTTCTAGTTCTGTTCTAGTTCTGCTCTAGTTCTGTTCTAGTTCTGTTCTAGTTCTGTTCTAGTCTGTTCTAGTTCTGTTCTAGTTCTGTTCTAGTTCTGTTCTAGTTCTGTTCTAGTTCTGTTCTAGTTCTGTTCTAGTTCTGTTCTAGTTCTGTTCTAGTTCTGTTCTAGTTCTGTTCTAGTTCTGTTCTAGTTCTGTTCTAGTTCTGTTCTAGTTCTGTTTTAGTTCTGTTCTAGTTCTGTTCTAGTTCTGTTTTAGTTCTGTTCTAGTTCTGTACTAGTTCTGTTCTATTTCTGTTCTAGTTCTGTTCTAGTTCTGTTCTAGTTCTCTAGTTGTTCTAGTTCTGTTCTAGTTCTGTTCTAGTTCTGTTCTAGTTCTGTTCTAGTTCTGTTCTAGTTCTGTTCTAGTTCTGTTCTAGTTCTGTTCTAGTTCTGTTCTAGTTCTGTTCTAGTTCTGTTCTAGTTCTGTTCTAGTTCTGTTCTAGTTCTAGTCTGTTCTAGTTCTGTTCTAGTTCTGTTCTAGTTCTGTTCTAGTTCTGTTCTAGTTCTGTTCTAGTTCTGTTCTAGTTCTGTTCTAGTTCTGTTCTAGTTCTGTTCTAGTTCTAGTTCTGTTCTAGTTCTGTTCTAGTTCTGTTCTAGTTTTGTTCTCTGTTTAGTTCAGTCTACGATCTGCATTGTCTAGACTATTCTCATGCAATAAAGAGAAATATAGGGTATTTACAAAGTTCGTTTATGCCAACTCCTTAGATTTTCGCATTTTTTTTATATGTGATTTTCCTTATGTGTGTTTTGGTTTTAATAATTTTGTTATATAGTTGCTTAATCTTTTTTCTTCTTTACCTTTGACAATATTTTTTTCGTTTTTCACAAATTCATTATTATAAGTTTGCATTTTGTAAAAGCATTGTGTTTGTGAAAAACCGCCCCACGCATGCGCATAAATAAATGTTATTTTTTTTTAAATAAACACAATTGTTGGGAAATGCTCAAAAGCACCAGGTGAATTAATTAGTAGATAATCTATAGGAGATGAAGGAAATTACATAATTTAAAGACAGTTTTGTCTTAATTTCTAATTTAAGGCAAGATATTGTTAATTGCACAAGTTTTTGTAAAATGTTTAGCAATTAACTAATAGTTAAAACTATTAACAAAAACTAATTTAAAAAGTGTAAGTTCTTCTAGAAACAACCATGAGTTTAAATTAGATAAGCTATAACTAAATAGATCTTAATTAAGATGTATTTTTTATAATGAAACGTGCTGCCTTTAAAAGGTCTAAGGTTCAATATTAATTCAAACAGTTAAGGCAATTTTAATCAAATCTTATTAAATTTTAGATAAAACTAAAAATTGTTTTAAAAGCCATCAACTACGAGATTTTATGATTTTTGTTAATTCATTTAATGCTTTTAAATATTAGTACCTTAAGTAAGTACCATATTACAATGTTAAGTACTAATACTTCGTATCACATTACTTTGATAGTGAATGTCAACAACTTTTTGCTGCTGAGGGATAAATACATTCATGTGTAATTTAACCAACGAAAGAAAATCTGCAAAAGATGTCATTGAGTAAATGAATAAAATATTTGGTTTTTTAAGAGATAAACGTTAAAAATAGCACGTAAACGCCAAAGACATGAGTAAACGAAGAAATAAGGAAAATAAACAATTTATTATAAGATAATCTACACCGTTTAGGGGGTTAATTTAAATTGTGTCTACACTCATGCTTCAAAAGCTAAAAAGATCATAAGCTCAAAAGTTTGTAGACTTATTCAATTCTAGTTCAGTACTAGTTAAGTTCTAGTTCAGTTCTAGTTCAGTTCTAGTTCAGTTCTAGTGCAGTTCTAGTTCACTTCTAGTTCAGTTCTAGTTCAGTTCTAGTTCAGTTCTAGTTCAGTTCTAGTTCAGTTCTAGTTCAGTTCTAGTTCAGTTCTAGTTCAGTTCTAGTTCAGTTCTAGTTCAGTTCTAGTTCAGTTCTAGTTCAGTTCTAGTTCAGTTCTAGTTCAGTTCTAGTTCAGTTCTAGTTCAGTTCTAGTTCAGTTCTAGTTCAGTTCTAGTTCAGTTCTAGTTCAGTTCTAGTTCAGTTCTAGTTCAGTTCTAGTTCAGTTCTAGTTCAGTTCTAGTTCAGTTCTAGTTCAGTTCTAGTTCAGTTCTAGTTCAGTTCTAGTTCAGTTCTAGTTCAGTTCTAGTTCAGTTCTAGTTCAGTTCTAGTTCAGTTCTAGTTCAGTTCTAGTTCAGTTCTAGTTCAGTTCTAGTTCAGTTCTAGTTCAGTTCTAGTTCAGTTCTAGTTCAGTTCTAGTTCAGTTCTAGTTCAGTTCTAGTTCAGTTCTAGTTCAGTTCTAGTTCAGTTCTAGTTCAGTTCAGTCAGTTCTAGTTCAGTTCTAGTTCAGTTCTAGTTCAGTTCTAGTTCAGTTCTAGTTCAGTTCTAGTTCAGTTCTAGTTCAGTTCTAGTTCAGTTCTAGTTCAGTTCTAGTTCAGTTCTAGTTCAGTTCTAGTTCAGTTCTAGTTCAGTTCTAGTTCAGTTCTAGTTCTAGTTCAGTTCTAGTTCAGTTCTAGTTCAGTTCTAGTTTAGTTCTCGACCGGTTAATCGAGTAATATCTTATTAATCAAATATTTTTAATCGATTGGTCGGATAATATGCATCAATTAACCGAATATTTTTTACTTTTCCTTTATGATTAACCGGATAAATCAGGCCTATTTGAGCAAAGGAGTAATTTTAGTGGATTAATGTTAACTTTTAAAGATTAATCGAATAAAATGCGATTAATAGAGTAATTTGAAACGATTAATCGAATAATTATCATCGAATAACCGAATAATTTGAAACGATTAATACAAATTTTTACATTTGGGAAAGATACAAAATAAACTTTATTTCCGACTTGTCGATGAGCCTATGACATCAAATATGTTTGAGTAATCGATTAATGACTACCTTTTACAATAAACAACATTGTAAGAAAAAATTTTCAACTGACTTTGGAAACAGTGTAAAATTTCCAACAAAATTTCGATATGAAAAGCAATAATACATTTCGAATTATATACGGATCTAACAAATACTCCAGCACTTGCAACCAGGCATGAGTACAAACAAATAAACCACACTCATCATGCTCACAAGTGCTAGCGTTTGTAGGCTCATATTTGTGGAGTGTGTTTCAATTTAAACACAACAACAACAACTAGTGGATTTTTGACAATATTTTGAGTTGGTTTCTTATGCCTCATAGAGTTTCTGCAGTTTGTTTTCATTTTTACAAGTTGGTCTTTTAAATTGAGTTAAAATTCGGTTTTGAGACAAGTGCTAAAAGACAAAGCTCAGTTAACGATAAACATTTAAACGAAACGGTTAGACGTTGCGCATGCCTTTTAAGCGGGACCGTTAAACAATTGGTTTTTGAAAAATTATTAACTACTTGAGTAAAGTGCGCTGCTTGCTCTTTAACACAATGAAATTTATTTAAACGAAAGTTGTAATTGAAGAAATAAAAGAAATAAGGAAAAAAATATATAAAAAGCAATAATATAAAATACGTGAAAAAATCTAAAATGCAATGTGATTGATTTCAATCAAAATAATAACATATTAAAAGAGAAAAAAATTCAAGGCAAATAAAGCAAGAAAAAAGTGAAAATATTTTGCATAAAAAAAGAAATTAAAAGTTTTTTAAAATCTAAAAATAAAAGTATTTTTTAAAAGGAAATTATAGAAAATAAAATTCAAAATATCTACTAACATAAAATGGTAGTTGTTCCCGCCTTAGGCGCTGCAGCCGCCTCGGTAGGCGGCCTGCTTTTCAAAGCCAGCTCGGCTTCCACAGCTGCTGCTACTGCTGGCATAGCTGCCATAGGAGCCTCAAAATTGGGACTTGCCATAGCGGCAGCCATTAAGGTGGCTACCACTATAATAGGTGTAGGCAAACTCACCATTATACCCTTCCTAATAGCTGCTATAGCCTATTATAATTATGATTTATTTGATCCTGAAAATCGTCCCTTTAATGTACAAGAAATAGAGCGCGCCTATGATTTTATTATCATTGGTGGTGGTTCAGCGGGCACTGTATTAGCCTCACGTCTATCTGAAGTGCCGCATTGGAAGGTATTACTGTTAGAGGCTGGTGGTCATGAAACGGAGATATCAGATGTTCCTTTATTGTCACTGTATTTACATAAAAGTAAAATGGATTGGAAGTATAGGTGAGTAAGGGAAGGGGCGATGAAGAAAAAAAAAAAACTTGAAACTGATAAAGTGACGTAAACTTGATCACTGCAGTTTTGGCAAAATTGTTTTTATTTGCGACAGTGTAGTCATATATAAATTTGCGACATTATTTCCACACCCAACACATGTTAAGGCCGATCGTTTTGATCAAAGAGATTTATAAAAACCTATTACATTAACTACACTCCCAATGCAGGTTTTTTTTATCCACAATCCAAAATACATATCAATCCGTTTGTAACAAATGAAATGTTGGCCATAAACCCTCTTAGTTTTCAATAGGAAAAGTTGCTCAGAATCTGAGCCACTTTCCATAGAAAAAGTTTCTCAACTATCCGAGCTATTTTCCATGGGAAAAGTTGCTCAAATTCTGAGCTATTTTATGTATATTTTTTTCTATATGAAAAGTTGCTTAGAATCTGAGCCACTTTCCATAGAAAAAGTTTCTCAACTATCCGAGCTATTTTCAATGGGAAAAGTTGCTCAGATTCTGAGCTATTTTATATGGGAGAAGTTGTTCAGAATCCGAACAATTTTCTCAGAGTCTGAGCAATTTTTTATAGGAAAAGCTGCTCAGAGTCTGACCAATTTTTTATAGGAAAAGCTCCTCAGAGATTGACAAACTTTCTATGGGAAAAGTTGCTCAGAGTCTGAGCAATTTTCTATAGGAAGGGTTGCTCAGAGGTTGACCAACTTTCTATGGGAAAAGTGCTCAAAGATTGATCAATTTTCTATGAGAAAAGTTGCTCAGAGTATTTAGAAAAAGTTGCTCAGAGTCTGTTCAATTTTTTGTAGAAAATGTTGCTCAGAGTGTGAGCAATTTTTTATAGGAAAAGTTGCCCTGAGTCTGAGCAATTTTCTGTAGGAAAAGCTGCTCAGAGATTGACCATCATTTTATGGGAAAAGATGCTCAGAGTCTGTGCAGTTTTCTATAGGAAAACTTGGTCAGAGGTTGACCAATTTTCTATGGGAAAAGTTACTTAGAGTCTGAGCAATTTTTATAGGAAAAGTTGCCCTGAGTCTGAGCAATTTTTTATAGAAAAAGTTGCTCAAAGTCTGAGCTATTTTCTATAGGAAAAGTTGCTCAGAATCTAAACAATTTTCTGTAGAAAAAGTTGCTCAGAGTCTGAGCAATTTTGTAGGAAAAGTTGCCCTGAGTCTGAGCAATTTTCTATAGGAAAATCTGCTCAGAGATTGACCAACTTTGTATGGGAAAAGTTGCTCAGAGTCTGAGCAATTTTTTATAGGAAAAGTTGCTCAGAGTCTGAGCAATTTTCTATAGAAAAAGTTGCTCAAAGTCTGAGCTATTTTCTATAGGAAAAGTTGCTCAGAATCTAAACAATTTTCTGTAGAAAAAGTTGCTCAGAGTCTGAGCAATTTTGTAGGAAAAGTTGCCCTGAGTCTGAGCAATATTCTATAGAAAAATCTGCTCATATTCTGAACAATTTTTTTTAGGAAAAGTTACCCTGAGTCTGTGCAATTTTCTATAGGAAAAGTTGCCTTGAGTCTGAGCAATTTTCTATAGGAAAAGTTGCCTTGAGTCTGAGCAATTTTTTGTAGGAAAAGTTACCCTCAGTCTGAGCAATTTTCTATAGGAAATATTGCTCAGAGTCTGCCCAATTTTCTGAATCTGAACCATTTTCTATAGGAAATGTTGCAAGGAACCTGAGCAATTTTCTAGGAAAAGCTGCCTTGAGTCTGAGCAATTTTTTGTAGGAAAAGCTGCTCAAAGTCTGAGCTATTTTCTATAGGAAAAGTTGAGCTGAGTCTGAGCAATTTTCTATAGGAAAAGTTGCCTTGAGTCTGAGCAATTTTTTGTAGGAAAAGCTACTCAAGTCTGAGCTATTTTCTATAGGAAAAGTTGAGCTGAGTCTGAGCAATTTTCTATAGGAAAAGTTGCCTTGAATCTGAGCAATTTTTTGTAGGAAAAGCTGCTTAAAGTCTGAGCTATTTTCTATAGGAAAAGCTGAGCTAAGTCTGAGCAATTTTCTATAGGAAAAGCTACCTTGAGTCTGAGCAATTTTTTGTAGGAAAAGTTACTCAGAATCTAAGAAATTGTCTATAGCAAAAGTTGCTCAGTATCTGAACAACATTCAAAGGAAAACTTGCTCGGAATCTGAATAATTTTCTATGAGAACAGTTGCACAAAGCTATTTCCAATGGGAAAAGAGGCTCAGAATCTGAGCATTTCCTGTAGGAAACGTTGCTTTCTATAAGAAAAGTTGCTCAGAATCTGAGCAATTTCCTATGGGAAAAGTTGCTCAGAATCTGAGTAAAAGTTGCTCAGAATCTAAACTTTTTGCTATGACAATAGTTGCTTAAAATTTTCTATTTGCTATTTTCTATTGAAAAATTTCTCCGAATTTGAGCAATTTTCTAAGGAAAATATGAAAAAATAAAAATATTTTCTAAAAAAAATAACATTAAAACAGCCACTCAAAACAAACAGCACTTGACCAACCCAAACTTTGTAATAAATTATTTCACAATATTTGCATTTTTTCTCAAGTAAAAATCAATAAAACTTTATCAATGATTTAGTCTCATAAATAATTTTCTTTTATGATTAACATCAAAATATTTCTTTGAATTATAATGGTGTGAATTTCAAGCAAAATATTGTTTAATATTTTGAAATCATTTCATCAGTTAAACTAACGCTAAACGCTATTGGACTTGAAGTTTTTTGAAATTTATTTAAAAATTTGCCAAAACTCAATAAAAAGAAATGAAATTAATTTGCATATTTATTACGTTAGTTTTTGATTTTAATAAAACAAATAACAAAATAAACATCAGCGACATCAATACATATTTTTGCCATCACTAACCTAGTACAATGTTTACACCTATTGGTTGGTTGTGCAAAAAAAAAAAAAAATAAAAACGAAAGACTTGAAACACAAACCCTATTTTTTTGTTTATTTTTTTTGCGTTTGTGAATCAGCAGCAAAATTTAATTAAATTTTTTTTAAGTTATCTAATAATTTGTTTGTTAACTTGTAGTCTCTTAAATTAATGTTTATTTTGTTATAATTCCACGTGTTAAAACTATTAGGTTAATATAAGTTTCCAGTTTTTTCTGCTAATACAAACGATTTGATTAAATCAACTTATGTGATGTTTTGAAAAGAAATAAATAACAGTTAAATGGACCTATAATTAATCATTTAAATTTAAAGTGACAGATGGTTATTAAACTAAAATCTATGATGATTTTAAATACAAACTAATACAGATACAGAGAAAGACAATGGCAAACTTTTAATAGGAAAAGTTGCTCAAAATGTGGACAATCTTATTAAGAAAAGTTGCTCAGAATCTTAGCAATTTTCTATATTAAAAGTTGCACAGAATCTGAAGCATCAAAAGATTATCAGATTCAAAGCAATTGTCTATAGCAAGAGTTGCTAAGATTCTGAGCAATTTTCAATAAGAAAAGTTACTCATATTCTGAGCAATTTTCTATAGGAAAAGTTGTTCCTATTCATAGCCATTTTCTACAGAAAAAAGTTGTTCACATTATGAGAAATTTTCTATAGGAAAAGTTGCTCGGAATCTAAAATATTTTCTAAAAGAAAAGTTGCTCAAAATCTGATCAATTTTCTATAAGGAAAGTTGCCAGGAATCCGAGCAATTTTCTATGGGTAAAGTTGCTTAGAACTTGGGCAATTTTTCTATAGCAAAATTTGCACAAAATCTGAACTATTTTCTATGAGAAAACTTGCTCAGAATGTGTTCACTTTTGTATAGAAATAATTGCTCAGAATCTGAGCAAGTTGCCATAAGAACGTTGCTAAGAGTATGAACAATTTCTTTTAGGAAATGTTGCTCAGAATCCTACTAAGGAAAAGTTGCTCAAAATTTGTTTGTATTCTATAAGAAATGTTGTTCAGAATCTAAGCCATTTTCAACAAGAAAAGTTGCTAGGAATCCGAGCAATTTTCTATGGCTAAAGTTGCTTAGAACTTTGCTCAATTTTTCTATAGCAAAAGTTGCACAAAATCTGAACTATTTTCTATAAGAAAACTTGCTCAGAATGTGTTCAATTTTGTATAGAAATAATTGCTCAGAATCTTAGCAAGTTTCCATAAGAACGGTGCTAAGAGTCTGAATAATTTCCTTTACGATATGTTGCTCAGAATCCGAGCAATCCTACTAATTAAAAGTTGCTCAAAATTTGGTAGTATTCTATAAGAAATGTCGTTCAGAATCTGAACAATTTTCAACATGAAAAGTTGTTTAGAATCTGAGCTGTTTTCTATAGGAAATGTTTTTCATAATTTGAGCAATTTTCTATAAGAAAAGATGCTCAGAATCGAAGTAATTTTCTAAAAAAAAAGTTGCTTAGAATATAACTTTTTCTATAAGAATAGTTGCTCAGACTATGAGCTATTTTCTATAAGAAAGTTGCTTAGAATGTGATAAATTTTCTATAGGGAAACTACTTAGAATCTGAGCTATTTTTATAAGAAAAGTTGCTCAAATATGAGTTTTTTTTCTATATGAAACATTGCTCAATAGTTGAGCTATTTTCTATAAGAAAAGTTCCTTAGAAACTCAGCAATATTCTATAGTAAAAGTTGTTCAGAATTTTCTATAGGAAATGTTTTTCATAATTTGAGCTATTTTCTATAAGAAAAGTTGCTCAGAACGGAAGTAATTTTCTAAAGGAAAAGTTGCTTAGAATAAGTTGTTTCTATAAAAAAGTTGCTTAAACTTGAGCTATTTTCTATAAGAATGTTGCTTAGAATGTGAGCAATATTCTATAGGGAAATTACTAAGAATTTGAGCTATTTTCTATAAGAAAAGTTACTTAGAAACTGAGCAATATTCTACAGTAAAAGTTTCTCAGAATATGAGCTAAGAAAAGTTGCTAAGAATCTGAGCAATTTTCTATAGCAAAATTAATTTAGAATCTGAAATATTTTCTATAAGAAAAGTTGCTTAAGATCTGAGCAATATTTTATAGTAA